TGTTTCATACATCAGAATGTTTCCCTAGTTGAATTTATCAAAACGAGTGGTGTTCTTTTGAAAGGTTAAAAAAATATTAAATCATATTTTATAATTACCAGTCTACTGGTCAAGACAATATAGGTGTTTAGTATGTAATGAAATGGGTTTCTATTGTTTTCATTGTTTATAAAAATTGACCTGTTTCCTTACTTACTGAACACTCTGTATATTTTTAAACCACGTGAATTTGAAAATAAAAATATCATTGAAGTGAAAAATTATGTTCAGTTTATATGCAATAAATAAGTTAATCTACTAAAAAAAAAAATAACTAAGTCAAATAAACATTAAATGTAGAACATTGTGTAGACTTTAAATTTAAAATCTGATTGTAATTGATGATCGTTGAATTGTTAACAGTAACTGTTTTGATTGTTAGCAGTTTTAGTGAACCTTAACTGTTAATGTTCACCAAAACTTCGTGACTTAGTTGTCACTTCATGTTTAAATGTAATGACCTCAGAAAAAGTTATTTTAGTACTTTATAAACTAGGAAAAGATAATTTTTGCAGGGCGAAAGAAATAAAATACATATGTCTGTTAAATTAAAAAATATTCAGTACTATATAAAATAATGTAGTAATATTACATTAAAAATGTTGATTTTTCATCATCATTTATGTTGTCTAATGATGGTTTATGTGCTGTCAGTATTGGTTAATTCTAATAATATTTTGGTTTTTGATTAAAACTTGATGTTTTAACTTATTAATACGAAATAGTTTAATTCCTGAAACCCTATATTAAGTTCGATCATCTACTTGAATGTCGAAAAAATAATAATGAACAATAAAAATGCTTATTGGACTATCTTTTGAGTTAAAGAAATGTTTGATTGAACTAATTTCTAAAAAATGTATTTAAGTAAATAATGAATTACTAACTTTAAGATAAATATATACTTAGTTCTGAAAGTAACCTCAGAAAAAATGTAGTGGTATTATTATGTATAGTGGTAATAATATTTATGTATAAATAATATAGTATTTTCTCTAGGAAAAATATGTTGCTTGAAATTTTAACTTGTAATTATGTGCCAAAATTGATAAAATCTTCGTTTTCCAACTATATTCTTTCAATCCATTTATATAGCCTGAGTATATATAGGTAGAAAGAGTATTATGAAAAATTAATGAATGAGGAGTATCCAAGAGATGCTTTAGAAAATATAGATTTAATTAGTGAGGAAGAAGTACGAGAGACTTTGATATTGATGAAAAAAATAAAAGCAATAGGTACTGATGAAGTGTATAAAATGTTAGAGGATCTAAGCATGAGATGATTAAAAGATCTTATTATTAAAGTTTTAATATAAGGGAAGATGTCCCAAGAGTAGGGAAAAAGTTTTGTGTTACTGTATTTAAAGATATATAGGAATGTGGTACTTATAGAGACATAAAGCTTATGAGTCATAGTATGAAGAATTGGTAAACAATAGTAAGTAAGAGAATAATTTAAGATATTGGTATCTAAAAATCAGTTTAATGTTTTGTCTGGTAAGTAAATGATGGGTTCTTTTTTCTGTAAGATAGCTAATTCAAAAGTAAAAGGAGAAAAATAAATAACTTTGTATGCTATTCATAGTTTTGGAGAAGGTGTATGACAGAGAGCCGAGAGAGGTTTTAAAGTGAGCATAAATGAGAAAAGGAGTTTCAAAAACGTATGATGTAATAGAGGACATGTATATTAATATAATAAATAATATGTATGTGGGTACTTGCATTAGGTAAAGTGTGTGAGGAGAAACAGAGGAAAAGTAGGTGTGTAACAAAGCTCCGTTTTAAACTCTTATCTATTCTCCATAGTAGTGGATAAAATTATATATATATTAGGACTGCTGGTATATGAATAGATGATGTAAGAGATTGTGTTAAGTGGAGGTTTATGATACAAGTGGCTAACCCTAAGTAGTTAGGTTAAAGGTGAGGAAGAAGAAGACAGAGAATCAGGCTAAATACATTCTGTGGCCAGCTGTGTCATCGTCTGCTGTCAGTACTTAGCTACAAGTCTTATTATATATCCTACCTTGTGTTGCCATTTAGTGTGTATATAGGGTGTTCAGTAAGTAAGAAAATGGGTTGCTATTGTTCTCATTGTAATAATTGAACTGTTTCCTTACTGAACATTCTGTATTATATGAAGATCATAAACCAATAACTTCAAGTTACCAAAATATATAGAAGATAACATTCTAGATAAACAATAATAAATAAATATATTTCATTGAATAGTGTTTGATTATAATATAGCATGAGGTAAATTAATATTTAATTTACTTAATTTGTTTATTAATTTTAAACTATTTTATTATTTATAGTTAAAAAAAGGAAAACTTAAATAATTTATTCAATCAACAGTATTTCAAAGACTAACTAGATTAGCAAGTAATGTTGGTTAGTTAGCTCATTACACTTTGTTTTTTTATTGCATTAAAATATAAATTCAAAAGACTTAGTCATTTCAAGTTTTATAATGCAAGTATTGTAATTATAGAAATAGATATTTGTCTCAATTAATTTTTGTTTGAAAATGAATTCTAACATTAGAGTGACTAATGATATAAGTGGCACACCTTAATCATTTCTATTTGCTTAGCTATCAAAATGTCTAATAAATTTAGAGTCTGATTCTGGCAATGAAAATTTAACACATGGTAAAAAATTTATCAAAGGTATAAAAATTCCACTTTTAAAATTACTTATTATAAATATTTTACAGTGATAATATATGTATTACTTTAATAATTTAAACAATGTAATTCATTTTAGGGAAATGAAATTTCCAAAAAATAAATGAGTTTATAAATATTAAGTTTAAGATAACTTATGTGCATTAAAATGATCATATAAATGTATTTTTCCTAAATTTATACCCTAGTTAAATTAATGTAAAACTTAGTAATGTACTTAGTTTTCAAGTCTATTAATACAAATTAATTTTGGCTGATTAATTGTTTAGAATAACTTAACAAAATTTATAAATGCATATAAATCCGAATCTAATAACAAAATTACACTAATAACGTTTTTTAACTCTTGAAGTTGACTATATAAATTAAATTCTCATTAAAGCTGTCATAAAACGGTCTCAATATAAATAATTTAATAAATAATAAAATTATTATCACTTTTTACAGCCATAATGGTGGTTTTATCTTATTTCGTGATGCGTATTCTTGCTTATTTAGATATCTAGTCTAGCCGAAAACGATAGATGGCGTTTTATTTTATAGTCCATCTGTCGGGAACACAGACCACGGTTCAATGACGCGTCGAGATGACCCCGCAGACTTTAGTAGCGGCAAGAGTATCAAACGTTTCCATTGGATAATATTCATATAATAGACGACGTCACTAAAAGCGTTAGCCAATAGGATATACTGTTACATAGCGTGCAACCCTACCCGCTACTGTGGCTGCTAGACANTTACATAGCGTGCAGCCCTACCCGCTACTGTGGCTGCTAGACATAATTTTCCCACCGACGAGTTACCCTAAACGCGATAAGACGATGGAGTTAAAAAATAATAAATAATAACACATATAAATATAAATTATACATACATATGTGTAGCCTATGGTAAGTACACATGTACGCACGGATTTAATTAAAAATAACAACAAAACGCCACGCCTGGTCTGTCGGTACGTTCGATAAGTCGGTTTATTCGGGCTCAGTTTCGCCGAGTTGTTATTAGCGTCAGTCTACTTTCGTGCATGCGATATAATAGCCGATAGAATAAGTGTCTTGTAAATTAATTGTAATTATGTGGTTTCTGGTGTCTGTATAGCTAATGATAATGAACCCGTTTTCACTGTGATTAATTTGCAATTCGAAGTGGTGTACGACTTAAAATAATTCGTTGTATGAGTGGTGAGTTTCGTGATGTGGTACAGCCGCCTCAAATGATGACTGACTAGAGGACATTTCCTTAAAAGGGCATTATATTGTCCAGACTACTTTTCTAAGATTATGTCAAGTCGAAGCTCACCGATTTCCTGAATCACTTAGAAAATCACTTAAGTACTATATGTATAGTTGTGTAAGTACGCAGTACTGAGAACGTTATTGTTGGCTCACGAATTCCGTGATATCTTTGTCGTGTTATTGTTGTCGAGCTTTGAATCCTTTGTGTCTAGTGTACAATAATGTACATTATCAATTTTTTAATAGTAGTAATGATAAATGCGTAGAGGGAGATTATTATTAGGTCACAATAGAAATGACGACTGATTGATAACGCGCGTCGTGATTTCTGGGATCAGTATTAATTGTTGCTATTTTCTTAATTGTTTGTTATTTGTTTTCTTTTTAGTTACATTTTTTCGTGGATGTTCTTTTGAAATACCAATACTGTACCAAATTTAATTGCTGTAATAAGATGTGGTCGAGTAAATGGTACTTATAAGAGCTAGCAACTCATTGCTGGCAGGGTTTGTGCAAGATAGCATGGATAATGGTGGAGGAGCTAAACAAGCTGATAGTTGGCACAAACATGAACAATTTATGATGGTTGAAAAACAAAAAACTAAAAGTATGTTTATTGTTTGCTTATAAATTATATTTTTATTGAAAATAATTTTTCCAAACTTTCCATCAACTGCATTTGAAATATTACTAGTAATCTTAAAGGGAATGTTTAGCTTTCATTTTAAATGTATTTGTCCTTGAAGGTTTTCAGTAATGCTAATTTTAAGTTTTAAACCTTTGAGGTAGTATTAAAAATTGCAAATTCTAATATTTGTCAAACATTTTTGTTTACAAAATATTGGAATATGGTTATTTAATGTTATTTTAAATTGACTATTCTTATTTGTCAAGATTCTTTTTTTATGTATTATAATAATTTTATTGTACATGCCAAACAATCTCAAATACTTAATTATAGTAATACTGTTATTTTATCTATCTTGAATCTCGTAGGTTTGCATAACTTATTTATAGTCTATTTTTTAGTTTAGTTATCATATAATTCATTTAATTTATTTTAAGAATATTGTATTCATATCGTTTAAACTAAAGTACTATTTTATAATTCAAATTTTAAAAGGGGTCTTAATATTATAAGCATTGAATCTTATTGCATATATGTTGTTTTATTGATTTGTAAAGGTATTTAGTAAGAGATTGGATGTCATGCTAAAAATAATGTACTGACTGTAGAAACTATAAATAGATACATTAATCATTCAACACATTTGAAATACCAATTTCAAGTTATAAGTTTAAGACTTTATAATTATATTTTTTATCAACATAATTTTATATTGATGTTGACTTAATTAAAAATTATTTAATCCTAAAACTTTCTTTAATGTAAATTTTATACTTTTATTAAAAAGAAAAAATTCGAGTAGGTTTTTTTTTACCTTTATTTGATTTTATTTAGGTGAAATTTTATTTTAAATTTATTTAGCTAAAACTATAACTAAAACTAGATAGTCTAGATAGTCATGTTATGAGGAGAGAGGAATCGAAAGCTATAAAAACAGTTATGGAAATGAATATTGAAGGAAGAAGAAATAGAGAATTATAAAAAAAGAGATAGAGTAATGTTTTTGAATGCAATATGAGGATGGCCGATGTGTGTTTAGATGATGTGGGAAATTGTATCTAGTGGAAGTTTAGGATAAGGGTGGTCAACGTCTAGTAGTCGTTATAAAGGTGAGAAAAAAGAAGAAGATTTAGGTGAAAATTTTTTATTTTTACATTGAAATTTCCAATAGTGTGTTATGTATAGCAAGTTACTAAAATTTTATTTTAACAGCTAATAATTTTTTATAGGTTTATTGTAATTAAATAATAGGTATATTTTATAATTAAATTTTGTTTTGTATAAATTATTTTTAATTGATTAATAAAATATTTTGTATATGGATAGATCATGGGCAAGGATCCCAAGATATTAATTTTGGATTTGGTGGTGGGCCATTATATGGTAGAATTGTTGCTGAAGATCAATTGCCTATGGTTGGTGGTGTTGCACCAATTCAAGCAGATATTCATGCTATGCAAGCTAGAATACCACCACATTTTCGAGACCCTTCCACTGCTCCATTAAGAAAACTTTCAGTTGATCTTATTAAAACCTATAAATTTATTAATGAAGTATGTATACAATTTGTGTCAGAAATATTTACTTAATTAATTTAATTACTGACAATCCTCCTCGTGTACTGAATTTTATTTATATAGTAATACATATTTGAATATATACTTAACATTATTAACAACTTATTTTTAAGGTTTATTATGCCAAAAAGAAAAAGAGAGCTGTGGGTGGAGCTGCTGGAATAATTACTCAAACTCAAAACAATGGAGCTCAAGTTGAAGGTCCAGTTGCTAATAAAAAAGAAAGAAGAGTATACAACGATGGTCATGATGATGATAATCATGATTATATAATTAGAAGTGGCGAAAAGTTTTTAGATCGCTATGAAATCATATCTTTATTAGGAAAGGGCTCTTTTGGGCAGGTAAGGATATTTTTATAAAATATGTATTTATTAAAAAAAAAAAATGTATTAAATATTTTTAATTCTTAGAAGAATTTATTTTGTTTTATTTTTGATAAATTAATTAATTACATTTGTTATTCTACAGGTTGTCAAAGCTCGTGATGAAGAGGAAGATTGTTATGTTGCAATAAAAATAATAAAGAACAAAAAACCATTCCTAAACCAAGCTCAAATTGAAGTTAGACTTCTTGAAATGATGAATAGAGCTGATATTGACAACAAATATTATATTGGTATGTTGACTAAAATAATCTGTTTGCTTGATTTAATTTAAATGATATCATTAAATATATTTAGTAGAAAATTAACTTAATTTTTTTCTTTCAGTTAAACTCAAACGACATTTCATGTGGCGAAATCATTTGTGTCTAGTATTTGAATTATTATCATATAATTTGTACGACTTAATACGAAATACAAATTTCAAAGGCGTTTCACTAAATTTAACTCGCAAATTTGCTGCTCAACTTTGCACGGCCCTGTTGTTCCTATCTACACCAGACCTGTCCATCATACATTGTGATTTAAAGCCTGAAAATATATTATTGTGCAATCCTAAGCGTTCCGCCATAAAAATTGTAGATTTTGGTTCATCTTGCCAACTTGGACAAAGGGTAAGATAATTTTTATTTTTGTTATGTTATAGATAGCATTAACTTGATCTAATTATTTTAGATATACCAATATATTCAATCAAGGTTTTATCGGTCTCCAGAAGTTCTGCTTGGTATTCCTTATGACTTGGCAATTGATATGTGGAGTTTAGGTTGTATACTAGTAGAAATGCATACAGGAGAACCTTTGTTTAGTGGAACCAATGAAGTAAGTATAAATAATTGACTCATGGTCAAATTTAGTCATGGTTAAGGTTTATTTTTTAAATATTAATTTCAAAATAAGGTTGATCAAATGAACAAAATAATTGAAGTATTGGGTATGCCACCAAAACACATTCTTGACCAGGCTCAAAAAGCTCATAAATATTTTGATAAGATATCTGGTAGTGATACTTATACATTAAAAAAACCTAAAGATGCTAAAAAGTATAGAAATCCAGGAGGACGAAGGCTTCATGATATTTTAGGTGTTGAAACTGGAGGACCATATGCTAGACGATTAGGAGAACATGGGCATTCTGTTTCAGACTATCTAAAATTTAAAGTAAAAAATTATTATTTAAAATTTTATATTCAATAATTCTTAAACAATTTGTTTTTTTTTAGGATCTTATTGTACGAATGTTAGATTATGATCCTAAATCCAGGATTACACCATATTATGCATTACAACATAATTTTTTCAAAAGGACATCTGAAGAAGGTACAAATACTGCAAGCTGTATTGCACAAGCAGGACTTCATAGTTTAGGAGCTAGCCCACCATTTAACAGTTTACCTAATAACAATGGCCATGCAGAATCAAACTTACAGTCATCTGGTAAGAATATATTAATCTTTTAAAATAAAATTTCAAAATAATGATAACAATTTATTAATTTTAAAATTATTAAATTTATAGAAGAATGTAAAAAAACCATATTATTTAATTATATTCCATAAACATATCCTGATTTGAAAACTTAAAATTTTAATTAAAAATATTGAATTGTAATTAAAATTTTTTTGTTCTTGCTTACATTGAAGGAAACACATTTCCTACACATTTTTATGCTCGATGACTATTGCTAAACTTTGGCTCAACAAATTAGCTTTCAAAAAAGTGTAAGTCAATTCCATATATTGTGATGTGTGTTGTTTTTTTTTTTTTTTTTTAAGTTATTAGTAATTTCGCTACATTTATTTAGCTTTTTAAACTAAATATTTTCAAAACATTACTGTCTTACTCACTATCATAAAGATTTATTTTACATATTTTCATTATATTGCACAGGTTTAACTATTTACAGTATTTGTGAGAGTACTCTTACTTAGTTCGGTTTGTTAGTTACTGTATATATCCTCATTTTTTTATATTTTTAAATCTTTTTTTCATTATTGTTAAATAATGATTGTACATAGCTCATTTAAATTATATTAAAATCTGAAAAGTTTTGATTTTGTAAATAACAAAAAGACATTCTATTTTAATGAAAAAATAAAGGTAATATCAAACTAAAAGTTCGAGTTTTATACAGTATCGTATGTAATATTTGTCATACATTATCTTATTATTTGATGAATAAAAAAAAATACTTATCCAAGATGAAAAATAAATAGGAAAAATCATAAATTCACAAAAAAATTTTTTCATAATTACTTGGATAACTTATTAATAAGTAACTATGCCTATAGTTATTAGCTTACGCCATAATATACCATTTTCATCAATATATATCATATTAACTATTTTATGTGTTTTTAATTGTAAAAGTTTGTTCTAAAAGTTACTTTTATCATATTAAATATTACAAATGATATCATTCATTTGCTTTTAATTTTTTTTCTCTTTAAGTTTAATGTTACTTTTTTTTGCTATTTATTAAAATTGTGTATCTTTATGCTACAAATTATAATTTTCTTAAATAATTATTATTTCATCACTTTAAGTATTATCTACTATTTGTCTAAAGGTTTTTCACTTGTTGTTAGCAATTAATCGTATCTTTGATGTGTATACTTTCAAGTAAAATTATTTAGTTAGATTAACTATTGTCATAGTAAATTGTTAAAAAAAAAAGTTTGTTTTTCACCCCACAAAATTATTACAAAATAGAGCTTTTACTGAAACTTTATCATCATACAATTTTTTTGTGATGGCTCATTAACAATTGGGTTTTCCTGTATAATTAAAATGTAAACACTATATCTCTTCCTAAAATATTGACTGAGATGTCAACTTTATTTAATAAAAACTTAAGTAATATCAATATTAGAAATTTATCATAATATTACTCACATTATAATTAATAACACTGTTTTTGCTGTGTTTATTTTACTTTTGTAGCTGTAATTGTAGTTGTAGCATTAATCTGATTAAAACATTTTCAAATAAAAATTAAAGATAATTTTATTAATCCTAAAATATGTCTCAAATGGATTTTTATCTTAAAACTGGATACCAATGTCAATATTTTAGAAAGAGATGTAGTGATTACATGTTAATTATATGGAAAAATCCAATTGTTCATGAGCCATTAAAAAAAAAAAAAAAAAATTGTAGGGAGGTAAACTTTTAGAAAATGTTTTATTTTATCATAATACACAATTTTGGGGAATAAGAGTCAAAAAAATGTTTTATTTTGAATAGATTTAATATAATATATATGTTGATTTACTTATCATAAACCACTAAAATTAGTGAAAAAAATATGTGTATTTATCATTTTAAGGGGAAATCAACACTCTTAATTTTCCTAAAACTACACTGAAAAAAAAATATATTACTAAGTTTTCAAGTCAGTTAATAAAAATTTGTTCTGGTTAATAGTGTATTCAGTTAAACTTAATAAAATTTATAAATTCATCTAATTTACAGCCCTGTTTATGTATATTGATATTTGAAAAAATAAAATTGACATTTTTATAAGTTTTAAAGAATGAACAAATAAATAACTTTATTATTAATAAATAGAAAAAACTTGTACAAAAAAAAAAAAATGAATTTTGAATATTATTTTTATTTTTGAATTCATTAAGTGGTTCATGATAAATAAATCATCTTGTATAGCATCATATTTATAATTATATTTATTAATTATTTTCAGTATCAAGATTACGACCTGAACATAATCGAGGTAGAATAACAATGGATTGTGATCCTCCATCTATTGCCTCTATGTACCATGGTTACCAAGCAGTGCCAGTTGTCAGGCATCATTTAACACATCATACAACAGCTATGTATAACCCACCCATAAATCCAGCATCTGCTGTTAGTTCAATGATTCACTGTCGACCTACGTCTCTGCCGTTCCTACATCCCCAACATCACCCTTATCAGCCCATACAATCACAATCTCCTCGTTCATTGCATTCATTACATAGCCATCAAACAGTGCAACAAACTGTTGCCCGAGCTCTACCATCCCATTCAAACCGAACGAAACAAGAACAAGATGAAATGATAAGGGTATGTATTGGACAGAGTCCGGTGGCTATAAATATAACATGATAAATAATGTAGTCTGGATAAAAACTTAAAAAGAAGAAATATGTTGGACTGTGATTTTTTTATTGAAGAAAGAATGATTAATTTAAAGAAAAGATAATAGTAATTTTGTTTATTAGAGACAGATTGATATATGTTTTGTAATAAAGTTTGATTTGACTGAGACAATGTTAATTTTTCTAATAAATGGTTTTAATGAAATTATATTAACATAATAATTTAACTAAAATATATTATATTTTAGTTAAATAACTTAAAAACTTTGACTTTATATATTTNATTAACATATATTTTAGTTAAATAACTTAAAAACTTTGACTTAATATATTTAACTAAAAGAAAGTATGGTGAAATTTGTTTCTCAATTTTTTTCATAATTTTAATGATTAACACTATATTTGCCATTTTTATCTTTATGTTCAAACATATCTATAAAAGTTACCTGATATTTAAAATTAACAATTGATTCAAAAATTTAAAAACAATTTTTTTACATTCTTCTCTTTTATTAATTTGAAAATAATAAATTAGTTATGTTTTATATTCTCCTGTATCCTTAAAATTTTTGTATCTATAAAACTAATTTTTTATTATTGCTGTCTAAACTTTTTTACTATAAAAATGTTAAGATTTTGTTAAATTTTCATGATTTCTGCAACATAGAACTTAACTAGGAGAAATTCAGTTGTTAATATAACTTTTGTGTTTACAAATCACTGACAAACAGTAATTTGCTAAAATAATTTGATTTTATTGAAATAATTATGGTGCTTAAAATTTGAATAAATTTATGACTTAATAAAAGCATAATTTTTAAAGCCTTTTTTTAAAACTAAATAGTTTACTTTAAATAGTACTTTAGTTTTGAAGACCAAGAAATAATATCTCTAATTATTTGTAAGACATAATTTTTCTATTATTTCAATTAAATATATTATTTAAGCATAGTAGATAAAAATGGCCATAATAATTGTGCAAGGCTAACGTAAAAATTATCTCCTTAAAATCCTTAGACTGAATTTTTAAACACTTTCAAATAGCACGTGTATACTATATATATTTCTGACTATGCATGTTTTGACAGTTATTATGAAATAGATAAATATTTGTTTTATATTTAATTAAAAATGTATAATTTGTAATTGTATCTACATAAACATCTATATATTAGTATAATTTAATGATTGTGTCTTCCTAAACTATTGTGTTTTGCGAGGACTCTTAATACTCATTAACCAGGTTTATAATTAAAATTCAAAATTGTAAATATAAATTAGAATGTGAATATCCTTTACCTAGTTACATGAGTATAAAAAGTTCTTATTTTTTAGTTTAATTTGTTATACACAATCATATGATAACAATTCATGTAAATTTTTTAATTATAAAAGATTTTTTTTACGCAATGCCACTGCCATATTGAAATGGACTTATAAACATTTTTATTACTTAAATGTTAATTTTATTTAAAAGTATGTAACTGTTCAGCAATTTTTTTACTTTTTACTAAGGAAAAATTTTCCTTTTGCTGCAAGATTAGTTGAATTATTTCTTTAATTTAAGTTTTAACATTGTCTGCTGAGGTAGTTTGTTCTTTTTATAAGAATATGTATAATACAAATTGAAAAGATAAATATTGTGATAGTACAGGGTGTAAAATCCTTAAGTTTTATTTTGTTCATATTGTGAAATCATTTAATTGATTTATATTATTAATTTTTTTTTAAATTAAAGACTGTTGTGTACATAGATTAGATGTATTGTACATGATGTTCATATATTAAATGTAATAACAAAATTATTGTATTAGAAAATGTTTTTTTTCTGTGTCCTCCATTTTTAAATGTTATATTTTTTTGTAAGAGATTTCTAAACCAGCCAAACAGAGTGATTGTAGTTCTTTTTTAAATAGCCTAAATAAAATTATTTATACTGCCTGGTTCTTTACTACAATCTACAGGACGAGCTTTATTAATATTGATCATCAAATTCGAAGTCAATTCCTCATGAAGTATGACATTATAATTGTAATTAGAAGACTATGACCATTCTAAAACTAAATATGGAGGGGGGGAAGTTAAAAATTTAATTCTACAGTATGAATATTAAAATGTAAATTTTTAAAGATCCTTTAAAGCAACCTAATTTATTGAAAAATATTCGACTAAAGTGATCAAATATTTTCAATTTGATAGTTGGATGGACTACATATCTTTCATGATAGATTTATAAATTATCTTGTTAATTAAACTTTTAACTTTTTCTTTAATAAATCAATAAACAATCTTTAACCAAGTTTTAGAAGGCAATAATATATATACCAATAAATTTTTAACAAAAAAGTTATTTTGAGATTTATTTAATTAAACAGGTTTTCATATTTTTTATCAATAGTAGAGTGGATTCTTTAGTTGTTAGTTTGTTTTTTATTTTTCATTATGTATTTTATTAACACTATTTTTCGGTTTCAAGCCCTTAGGGTAAAGTGTATAACATTCAAGGGACAAAAAGCAAAATTAATATAATATTATATTATGTATGCAGTGTATGCCTATTGCAGTAGCTGCCGAGGGCTATGAAATTATTATTATTATTATGAACCCTCGTCAAAACCTCATTCATCAAACTTTTATCAAATATTCATAAACTGTGACTTAATGCTTATAAGGCTGTCGACGGTAGTTTTATACGTATTCGCAGCAATTTTTTATGACTTTTATTTTCTGTTTATATTACACCAGATGCACCATTATTTTATACACCTTCATACATGTATAAACCAAAATGAATGCACATTAAAGTATTGTTATTCAGCGAATAGTTTAACGGTTTCAGTCTAAATTAAATCTATTGTAATTTTGTTGATGTTGGAAATAATGTGTCGTCAACAAAAATATTAAAATTTAATTTAATAAGTAATTAAAAATACTTGATCTTAGTTTATAATATAATCAAGGTTACTTACAATTTATAAGAATAAAAGGTGCAAAATAGTATCCATGATTTTAATCTCGTAATAATATGAGATTAACCATGTTAATGTGACGCGTAAATAATAATTTCAGAATAATTTAATTATCTTAAAATTAATACAGGTAAGAAAAATTAATAAAAAATAAGTTATTTATAAATATTTTTATTAAAAATGTTTTTTTTTTGCAATATAAATAACAATAACTCTGTCGAGTTCTAATTTCGGTAACATTGATACTTTTTGGCATTTGAGTGAAACAAATAACAAAACAAACTTGTAATTATTTATTTGAAAGTTTGCTTATAAACGTTTTTAAGTTTTCGTAAATTTGCTAGTGTTGTTGAGTCGTCTGGTTGTAATTGCAAAGCAGTTTTGTAAGAACTTTCGGCTTCTTCAAATTTCTCATTAATATGCAAGATAGCACCCAAATTGCTATGACTTGCCGCATCCTGGAAAAACATAAAATTAACAAATTGTATTCAATTTAATGTTATTTGTTCATATTAATAAGTTAAAACTTTTAGATTAAACAAACGAGTTATCTTTAAAATCCATTGTTGATTGTATCAATTTGATTTTTTTGTAGAATATGCAGTGGCATCAGTCGTATCTAATAGCCTTACGGTCGTGCTAATAGTATTGATATACACCTTGTTATAAATGGTATCATGCGAGATGAAATATATAGTAACTAACGCGTGTCTAAGGAAAATTTAGGAAACTATTTTTTAATATTTTCGTGGCACATTTAGTACGATCACCACCACGGCCGTATTATTAACAGTCAAAGTAACTGTCTGAATTGCAATGCTATAAAACGCTGATGTTAAACATATTATTTTTCCTGGCCGTCATTTTGGGCGTGTAGATTTACAAACTTGCAGAATGGGTATTTTTTAAACGTTCTCTGAAGATCTCATGACTACAACGAACATAAATAAATCCGAACGGTCGGACATTTTCTGTTAGTCGGAAACACATAATGTGAGTGTATTCTCTTGTTTTTCTCGGCTCATTACTTATCAAACTTGTTTCTGAGCGTAGGACCAAAATGAATTGTAATTCAAAAGAGGAGGAGACCGTTTCTGGGGTCGGCGAACGCGACGTATATTCGTCGACGGCAAAAACTTTAAACGGCCATAATTCGCAAACCGCCCGTCGGTAATATTTTATATTCTTTTGCATCGTTGTTGTATGACACTAGTGTAGTTTTCACTAATGTTAGGACACATTTTGTCATTGTGAGGACAAACTTTGGCGCTGTTATTATTATTCCTTCGTCTTATACAGCTTTGGTAATATTAATCATGATTAAGTAGACCGAGACGCGTAACTCATTTACGTCATGCCCGAGACAACTGTATTACTTTATACTTGTCAGTCTCACTTTCGCTGTGCAATGCACTATCGTAATAAAAATAACGAATTTTTTTTTTTTAGTAAAAAACAGTACACGCACGGTCCAAAATTATTCAATTGACCGTATTTTAACAGCAATTTATAAAAACGAAAAAACGCTCGTTTTACATAATACTTAGATACGAATAGAAATAAAATTCAAAGGCCCTTAATGTATTTTATCTACTCGAATAGACATAATGTCAGATGAGAGCATTTTTTTTTTTTATCGAACAAAACTGTTATTCAAATGATGCGGTCATCCGTAAAATATGAGACCGTCGAGCCGATATGGTTAATGGGAGTACACTTCATCGACGTTATAACTTGTCCCAACAAATATATTTTTTTATTTAAAAAAAACTTATGAATGTCTATTGACTGAACTTTCGGTAGAAAATCTTCTTTGAACATAGTAAATAAAATCTAGATTAAACTTTTAAAAAATTTGATTAATTGAATTTCAAAGAGGAGTAACTTTTAAAAGTTTGAATTTAATTAAAATTATTTTCCACGCATATTCTGAGAGATATTACTAATTGAGTTTTTTGTTTTGTTTTATTATTTTGAAATTTTCTTTAAAATAATATCGATTTTGGGTTGTTTACAGTTTAAGATCTAAAAAAAGGAACAATAAGTTAAATATCTAAAGTATTTTTTTTTTGCAAGTAATCCCAAAAGTTTAGTAATTGATTTTAAAAAAATATCCACGTAAAATTTGGGTTTCCTTACTATCAGATTAAATACTGTTGTTGTAATTACTATAAATACTATTTTAAAAACGAAATC